CCAGCCAGGGTCAACCCACCACACCCTCTCCCAAATCAGCATCTACAAGTTGAGAAGTGTCACTGATGGGTCCCAGCACCGTGAGGCCCGCTATCCCACAAGCAACTGGAAAGCTTTAGCTGGCCACTACAAGCTGACTCCTGCAAACAACTGTCCTGCAGCAAAGACGCCACATTTTGCAGAGATTTTTTTGCAGCGTCACCCCCGCTGAGCCTAGTGCTTTGCTGACAACACTTGACTGGGAACAAGTGGTCTGTGGTTGAAGCTGCCCAGCGACCCAAGCTGAGGGGACCCCCATACACAGGCGCCTGCTGCACAAAGTGGCACTCCACAGAGCAGAGAGGCTTCCGGCCCTGGGAGCTGCGGCTGCTGCAAGAGAGCTGCTTTGTCAACAAGGTCAAGGCACAGCTCTTACAGGAAGGAAGAATCAGGCCCCGTAAAGCTGCGGTGCTCGATATATCAAACACAGGCTTCTTCAAGAAAATGGCTTCCCCTCAAATCAATTCATCCATCTGCAGCGTGAGGCACAGGGCTTCAGGTCTGGCTATTACCACTTCTTTGATAAATACTCTGCACACACCTTAGGTTCTGATTTTCTAATACACATAGGAGAGCTTTCTGGCAATTCAGATAGCAACTTACACTGGGGCAAAACAGGGACTTTGTGTTCTCCTCGTACTGCTTGTCCAATTTCTTGTCCTATTGGAAAACAAACAAAAGTGAACCAAAACACACAAAATACGAAAGTTAGTTTCCCAATTGAAAGGTCCCTGCCCCCCTTTCCCTGCAGGGACACAGCAGAGCATGGGGGTCTCTTCCCTTCCCCGACTTTCAATGCCTTCTTGTCCTCCTCAGGAGTGCTCGTGGGTGCAGCAACCCTCACTGCTGTCAGCATCACCCCACCTGCCCACGGTCTCAGGTGCCCTGAGCTCTCTTTAGCCATCCACTCAAGCTCAACCAAGCCCACTTCCCGCTCCGGGTCTCCCCACAAAATGTGGGTGGTTTATTTCTTAGCAGGGCTTTAGAAAACTTTTGACTCCAATAGAAATTACCAAAATTATACTTGGGTAGAATTTGGGAGGCAGAGGAGGAAAATATGCGTAGGAAAGAATGGGAAGGGCTCCAGGGAAGAGTCACAGGAGCACTGAGTCTGCCAGAGCCCAGCAGAGTTTAGCCAGTTTTGCCTGCTGAAGGAGCAGTAAGTCTTACAGATGCTGGATTGCCCCCCTGGGGTTTGCTAAAAGCATCCCATCACCTTCTCCCACAGACATCTGCCATTTCATATATGAAGGGCGTTCTCTTACAGCTCAATCCAACAGCGCAGTCATCTCAAAGACAGCTTACTCACCACGCAATGCACAAGGATGCTGAGAGGAATCCAAAAAAGTAAGGAGAAGACCAGCACAGAGCCCACTATATTATCCGCTAGGAACTTTCCTGTGGAATCAGTTCCAATCTGTTAATTACCTCCCAAACGCCATTTCATGAACATACACATCTATCCCCAGTCTGCAGCCAGTGCTCATACAAGCCAAGCCGCAGAATTGCTCAGAGAGGCACAGGCTGCAGGACTAGGCAAAGATAAAAGAAATTATACAATTTTAGAAAAATGTAAACATACATTAACATGAACAGGGTTCCCCCCCCCCCCCCCCTCTTTCTGATGAGAAATGCTGACAGGCCATACCATTTAATGTAAGTTGACTGGGAACAGGCTACGCTGCATTAGCCAAGCTGCTCCCCTCAATTATACAAGACACACTGCGAGTCTGTTACCAAATTCTGATTTTAGTCATGTGATAACTACCTGTTTCCACAAACAAAATATTTGAACATCAAGGCTATACAAACTGCCTCTACCTGAGCAGGCTAAATAGCTTTAACTACCACCTAAGAATGTTTTGACCCTAGAACTCAAGATTGAAAGCCCCAAACCCAGATACTTACACTGTGTAGGCACAGGATTATCGTGAGTGCATGCAGTTACCCAGCCGTTACCCAGCACCGGCTCATTAACAGGGTTTGTATGGTTGCAGTAACACCAACTGAGGTGCTGGGGGTTGCACTGGGGGGTTACACTCAGGGGCTGCCTGCTTGGATGGCAGGGTGGGGATCAGAACCCAGGAGGCCCGCTCACAATTGCTGGGCAGCGACTCAGTACAGGCACACAGCTTGAGGCGTGTGACCTCAATGTTGCTCTTAAATAAGAGAGAAATTAAGTTTTCCTCTCCCGGTCTGTTGACATTTAAATCCCACTGAGAGGCCCACTTTATACTACGCTGAATCTAGCTGACCTCTAAAAAGACTGACTTATTTCCTTTTCTCTGATTGACCTACTTCTTGGTATTCAGACAAGCAGCTATCATCACCTTTATAAGCTTGGAAGATGTCTAGAAAATAATAGAGTGTAAAAATGCAAAATGATCCTCCATCTTTTCAGCTTTAAAAAGCAAGATCAATATTGTCAAACTTTAGGCAAAAGTGTATTTACATACATCAGAACACAGCTACTAGCTACCCCTGCATATGGGTGAGTAAAACCAGCCAGCTAACTCCCTCTGAGGCTTTAGAGGTTCGTGAACAAAAAAAAAAACCCAAAGGATATGGTTACATATCTTACCAAAAGTATTGATGCTGAGCTGATCTATGAAATCCCAAAATCGTTCAATCACATCCTGTACTTGTTTCTCACATTTGCCCTGCAAAAGTAAACACTTATTTACAAAATAATCTTATGCTATCTAAGCATTAACTACTGCCCTCTTGGAGAGGGCAGAAGATACAAAGATGGTAACAAAATGAAAACTACAGACACAGCAGCACTTGACTCACATTCTGAATATAGGTTTACCCTCTGCCTGGTAGCAGCAGTCCAGTTTTACTGCCTTTATTTTTGGCAAACCAATTTCAATTCTATTGCTGTCTGAAACAGATGAAGTTTTAATGTTTGAAATGTGCAAAACCTACACCCCCTCACCCCATGTTAGGGAACTTAAAACTAAAGTTTCTGGAGAGGTTTAACCACCAGAAGCCTCAGTTCCCATTACCCGCTGAGAAGGCTGCAGCTCTCAGGAGCCCAAGGTTACAGACTCAGATCTGGCCATGCTGGTTTAACACAGTAAACCATCAGTCTTCCAGTTCTGCCAGCGGAAGGGCTGGGACAAGGCCTCCCAAATTCACTTCTGCCAACATCCAGTTTAGCTTCAACCGTTGGGGTCTGCAGGTGATGCAACTGTCTGTGCAGCTGTACCACGGAAACAGTCCCTGAGTGCCTGCAACCCACCAGTCTCCCTGCCACGGGCTCACTGCCCCCTTCAAGATACTGCCAGCCAGATTTTCATGCAATTGCTCCCTGACCTGAATTATTTTAGTCAAAATTAATTGGGCTAACACAAACAGCTGAAATAGCAAGCACGGCAGACCTAGCCGAGCTTACAGCAGCACTCATTCACCTCGTTCACACAAACTGCCAGCTGGCTGAGCTGTGGGGAGCAGCAAAAGGGGCTATAAGGAATAGCGGAAGGTAACAGCTTCACCTCGCACAGGTCTCTGCAGAATGAGCTTCCACCTGCAGCCTCAGACACCCTTTAATATTGACCCTGTGGAGAGGTACTTACACACTATCACCCTGCTCAGCAGCATGTCAAGCTTTGGCTTCTCTTTACCAGCACGGTCCTTGGCACAGAGGACTCAAACACCTGGCCACAGAAGCAGAGCATGCAGTGCATTGACATCTGGGAAAACTTACGTTTGTATCACAGAAGCCCACAGTACAAGGCTTCCCCTTGCGCAGGAACAGAAACTGGTCGTTAGCATCAACGTATGGTATGCACCTATCCTGCTCGTCCCGGCAGCACACCTTGCAGGAGTTATCCGTTTCTGTAACAAAGCAACAAACTCAGCACCAAGAATCACCTGCAACCCATAACCACACAGATGCATAACGTCACACATCCCCTGGCTGACCACGCTCCCGCCCAGCTCCCCCACAGGGAAGGCAGGGCTGTGCAAGTCGCCCAATTTCAGATGCTCCGATCACCAAGCCTGAAACTCAACCAGGTGTCCTGCGCAACATCTTAGGGGACACAGCTCTCCAAGCTGATACCCCAACACTGCAGGAATCAACAGGCAGGTTCCAAACACATCCAAGACACAGATTTAAATATTTCTTGGCCTTGGGTCCTCCAGGCAGCCTTCTCCTTGGCTATGCCATGCACCTCAAATGGTGGGGCTACCAGCACTTCCCTGCACCGCTCCTGTTAAGCTGTCCTCCTGCTCCCAGCTGCTTTATCAGATTTAAGAGCCAAAATGGAGAGCAAGCAAACAGTAAAGCTTATCGACAGAAGCATGGGACGGGCAGGTTTGCAGTAGGAGGGGACTGGGCTCAGGGATCCCATGTTCTCATGGCACTTTAACCTCTCTGAAATCTTTCTTTAACCACTTGTTGGAGGCCACCACTCCTCTGCCAGATGTCTGGTCCAGAGGTTGGTTGGGATCTCTTTACAATCAGACAACAATCTGCCTGTGGAGGAGGCAGCAGAGGGTGGGAGAATGCCCTCTCCTTTAACTGGGGTGCCAGACCACAAGTCTCATCTTAACATCTTCAAACCCAGACCACCAGAGGACAAAGGGACATTTACATTTGTTTTCCAAATGGAAAACACTAGCCCTGAAAAAACAACAGTTTAAACTTCTTCAGAAACCATAAACTCTGCCCTCCAAGAGGGAAGCCCATGGCGAAGCCAGCACTCTCTGACACAGAGCTGAAGCTTTCCAGTTCAGTCCCACGTCACCCACCATTGCACGCACACGACCGTAGGTTCTTCTCCCTCTCGCAGAAAGGGACACACTCCCCGTCCTTGCACTTCCCCATGTCCACGCAGACTGTGTCATCTGGAGCATTCCCTGGAGGGGGGCACTCACTGCTGTTCCCTGAAGGTGAAGGTTGACAGTAGGGGAAGACTGTGTTAGAGTAAAGGGCAGAGCACTTTGGTGTGCAGAAGAAAGAGACAATAAAGGAAATCCAGACTCATCCCGGGGGGGAACCCCAATAACTTGTTCTTGGCTTTGATCCGCAGGCTGCCTGCCAGCTCTGAGAGGCAGCAGCAGCTTTGGAGGCTTTCAACAAGTCAGGCATTGTGGCACTCCAGCGACCAAGGAGTAAGTAATGGACCCTGAGGTGCCATCAGCAAAGCAGGAACTCTGACTTCACTCCTTGTCTCTAGGAAAGATTATGAAGAGGAAGTAAGCAAGTGGGGAAGTGAAGCAGAGTTGCAGTAATTCTATGGCAAGATTCAGCTCATTCTTGTCCCATCCCAGTAGCACACTCTGTTTTGCTTTTTCTTAAGGGAAAGAAGGAAGGAAAAAAAGAAAAGAAAAAAATCAACATTTTTCACATTCTTCTGGACAATAAATCACTAAGTGACTCCTGAACTACAATGAAACTCATTATAGGGCAATTTTGTGATGCTTAACTGGTCTCCAAAATTACATGTACCAGATGAATAAAGGGCACTAGTTTGAAAGCAGATCGAACAGGACACTGAGCCTGGAGCGCTTGGCTAGCTGACGTAAAGGGGACAGAACCACATCCTACCAGTGCAAAAAGACTCTCCTTTACAAGTGGCATTTATGGCTTCTTGGCATTTCTTCTGTGCGCTTTCAAACTGGCAGCCTTTACAGCAGGGACTGTTCCGATCACTGTGGAAAGATCAAAATGAAAGGAAGAAATATTAAGCAATCTTTTAAAAAAAGAAGTACAAGCATGACAAAGCCGGGGAAAAAGGATGTTGGGGGGAAAGCAGCTACTTCTTGGAGATTGACTCACTGATTCAAAACCCTTGCCCTCTCTGCCCCCTCCCATGACCACCTTTCTACACACCCACTCACTCTTCATTTACCAAAGGTGAAAGGATGTAGAAAGTACAATGTATTAGAAGAAAACACAGGGATCCTTATATTTATTCAAGGCACCTGGATCATCTTGTCACTTGCTGTGCAACTTTGGACAAGATCTTCCATTGTCTTCTTCCCCACAAATTTTCCTGTTTGTCCTGAAGGTTTAATACTCTTTATTTTGTGCTGTCTTTATTCTCTTTGTTCTGCATCTAATGCAAGAAGGCCCTTAGAGTACACACAGAGGCATTATAGTTCAGGGAATTTCTTCAGAATTGCACGACACCTCTACTGTTACATGGTGCAGAGCTGAACTCTGAAAAACTAGACTGGACATGGCATTGCAACAGGGCCATGAACACCCCGAAGAGCAAGAAGAACAGAAAGAGGACTCATTCGGTGCAGTCACCGTGTTGTCTGCTCAAGAACATTTTGCAGCAGTCTTAAAAATACCAGTATGCGATCCCAGTTCAAAGCTGCCTTGCATTACAAGCAAAAATTGTACTTGCACAGGAAGTTTGCACATATCAATTTTTGGTTTTAGTATTAATTTTTGAATGTCTGATTTTGCTCTTTAATGTAACAACCACCACCATCTTCAAGCCTGTAGCTCTTGGCACTTGTCAGAAAAAGTAACAGAATGCTATAAAAATCGCTATATGCAAACGATGCATGCACACAGCAGCCTTTCCTGAAAACCTTTATTGCCTTCAGCTCCCACGTTTAGCCTTAAAGCCAGGAAAGAGGTCTGTGACATTGCAGATGCCTTTAGGAACTTTCAGCCCAGCCCACCATTCTCTCCCTTACCTGCATTTGGCACCATCTTTCAGTTTACAGTCTGCAGAGCAGCAGGGATCAGCCTGTTGGTACAAGAGGCCAGGATCGCATTCCTCCCCTTCATCCACCCGGGAGTTCCCACACACTTTGTTGTTGCGCTCTTTGAAGCACTCCTGGGCCTTGATCTCTATGGTCCTATGGATGGATTTTTTGCTGCAGCTTGAGAACATCTAGAGAGTCGCGAGGGGAAAAAGCAGCACTGAGGAGCGTACCTTTCTGTCAACAAGTGGCATTAAGACAGCCTCAGCCTCCTTATGCCTCCAAATTCTCGTGTCTCAGAAAGCAGTTATTCCCTCTATACTGCCAGTTTGATACCGTGGAAAAATTTTAAGATGAGAAAGTAATGGTTGGGTCCATAAAAGGACAGTGCTACGTTATGATGCAGGAACATCTGCATGCAGTCTGGCTCAGGGTCACAAAGCCGACTCCAGCTCTCCCACGGCTTCAGGAGCACTAGCAACCATCCCCAGGAAGGGCTGCGAAGTTGCAGCAACGGGGAGAGACTGTGCTGCCTCCCAGCAGCAGGGCTAGGTGTGAACCACAACAAGTCAGACTAGACTGCAGACTAATCGTTCCCTCGATAATCTTGGTTTCTCATCTGCAGAACAGGCAGAACACCAAGTTCCCACTGCCAGCGCAAGCTTCTGAGACTGGCGAGCGCCATGGCTGTGGTGTCTGGCAGTCCCCCTCCAACAGCAGCAGCTATGTGCCACCCACCCAAACGCTACTCGGTGCTGTAGTTCCCGTGTTTGACTCTTGCTGATGACTCGCTTTTAGGAGTGTGCAGCCACAGCTAATTACAAACAACTAATTGAAAAAGCACCTGGACATGCTATGAACTCCAGTGAAATTCAGAATCCAAAGATGAGCTTATCTTGCTGAGAACCCAACGGCATGCAAGTATGTTTTCTTGTTATGGCTAACCTGTCACATTCCTGACTGTTTCAAGCTACAGGAATCATTAACTAAATAGACTTTCCATGCAAAGGGTCACTGACCACAGCAGAAACTTGTACATGGAAGCAAAACTACGCTACTATACCTTGTTGTTTTCATGATCTCCACTGACAGCAATTGGATACATAACATATTTCCCTCCCTGGTCTTCGGTGGGGGCACATTCTGGCAGACTATCAGGATCATGCTCTGCTCCAAAGTTATGTCCGAGTTCATGTGTTGTAACCAGGTCGGCCTCCTTTTTTGAACATGAAAAAAGCAATGCTGAAAAAAATTAGTCCAAACAGGACAGGACAGAAGATCCCAGCTACCTCCAGGCCACCAGCAATTTCAAGATACACTAAGATGGAAAGGGATTTCCCTACGGACATTATTTTTTTCTTTAGAAGTGGGGAAATGAAGGCAAGTAAAATTATGGTCCATTTCCAAAGGCAAGTTCCAGGACTAGGTTTGAATACTAAACCACTGTTAAAGGCAAAATGTTGTCCTAGAATACCGCTTCAATCTTGTTTTCTATGCAATGCAGATACTGAAAATATAAAAATTTGCTTTTAAATAGCTAGAAGGCATAAAAAGTTGAAACAAAAAACAATCCAAGCAACATAGCAGCTACTATGATTAGTCAATCTCTTGTTTAACATATCTTGCCATTAGAATTATTTCTTCTAAATGGATGATGACATTAGGAGCGCTGAATAAGCTCTTCTATTGCATGATTCCTATGAAAGACATCCACAGATGTGGCCCAACAGGGATGGATTTCCAACATCATTTATGCAAGACAGGGCTTCCTCTGCTGAGGATCCCACACTGGCTCTGCCTCGCTGCACCCTCCCTGTAGTGCCTTCACCAGCAGATGGTGTCAAACTCACAAGGTGACAACCACAATGTTGTGGTTTTACCACTATAAAACTAGCACTAATAAAACTAAGAAAAAATTAACCACAAGGAACCGAGCAGCTTGAGAGAAGCAAGTTTGACGAGCTAACCGGCATTTCTGCTGCTGTGCAGGCACAGGAAGGACCAAGTGCTGCAAGGAGCAGCCCTGGTACCTGGTGTAGGCACAGGTAATGTGAGAGCCAGACACAGGAGAGCTGCCCAGAGATCACTCCTATGCTTCCTTGGGGAAGGGTTTTAAGCAGGTTTGGGGTTTGGTTTTTTTTTTTTTTTTTCTTTTTTTAAACCCAAGTGGACACCATGCAGCACTTTCCCAGTGAAACCAATCCGTAATGCTCCTGCTGCCTCATCCCAAACTTTGTGCCTGCCACTAGGAAGACAGCAAATTCAATTTCCTTTGTAATCCAAGGCAGAACTCCAGCTTGGAGATTGAACAACAAATGCAAATAGCATGGCAACGGCTAGAGCTCTTTGTCAACATCCCTCTAACACAAAGCTTCACTGTCTTTTTTTTTTCTAGCTTCTTGACAACTTCTGTGCCAAGTTCTAGCCCACACATCAATTATGAATTCCCTTTATAATCAGGCTATAGAAAAGCACAGCTGAGAAGTTAGCAGAAGTCAGCAAAAGAGAAATATGCCCAACTGCAAAGATTTGGTAGATGCAAACACAGGCACTGCTCAGGTGTCTTTACAAGCGAGACAAAGCTCATATTCAGGCCTTTATGTATTTACTATCTCATCAAGTATGGAAAAAAAATCCAGTCAGCATCAATTTACATTAGGCTTAGCATTAGCACTAATAAGCCCTGTCTATTATACTGTTCTCTGCTCTACTTATTCAGGACACACAAAAATCAGGTAGAGGAATCTCATTAAAAGGCTCAAACTAAACCCTCTACTCTGCGTGCACTACTTTCACTGCTTTACCTTGCAACTGGAACAGACCAAGCGTACACAATTGCCCATCTGCACGTTGTAGGTGTACATAATAGCAAACATGTAAGTTTTTTCTTATTTGAGTCAGCAGACTAATTTTGTTGTTACTGTAGAGCTACTTGTTGTATAATACTGCTTGTTCCGTTTGAGAGCTTGTTTTTGGTTTTTCTTAAGCAAAATACATCTAAATTCACCTTTAGATATCAAAATTCAGTTTACATCTGGACAATGAGAACTCCTATTAGACACTGGCTATGTTTCCTCACTCCGGTTCCGCAGTGAATTCAATCTTCAATTCCATTCTGCCCTGACTCCCCTTGTCAGCAAGAACAAAATTGGTGATTTTCGTTTTGTGAGCTACGTCCTTGTCCCCAGGGATCTGACTCAATCAGAAAGCCAGCAGCTTGTTTCTGAGAGTGCATGGATGCTTGTCCCAATCCCATGGCACACATCACCAACACGCACATCCGTGCACTGAACGCTCTCGCTCTGCAGAGGAGGATATTCTACCTTTGTGAGGATGGTCTTCCCATAGTTCTTGGTGCTGGTTAAGCCACTGTTCAGATAGATGTCCTTCTTTGCAGTTTGACTGTAATAAGCTATAGAAGTGAGAAAGAAACAAATAAAAATTGACAAACATTTTTGGGGGGTTTCAGGTTTTTTGCGGGAGAGGGGGATCCTTGTTTGGCGAAATGAACAGCTTTACTGTTCTCACAGGCTCACCAGTGAGATCCTGCCTCTTGCCAGTTTTTGGAGTGGGGAATCTTTCAAGCACAGCACAAACGGCTTATGTATTGCAGTAAAGGGGAAAATATAAGACATTTCCAAGACAACAGCATCTGCCATTCCAGAACCACTGCAAGATGCACCCACACAAAGCAGCCCTTGGCTTAGGGTTTGTTCTAGCCAGCTTGTTCACACCAGATAGCTTAGTGACTTTTATCCTTCCCTCCCTTCCTTTTCCAGCTCCAGCCAAGAAAACAGCCATCTATTCTATCCAAAAAACAACAACTAGAGTCTAGGCAAATAACACATCATGCTCCATGAAAGCTGGAGAAGAGGATTAAACACAAATAACAAAAAATAGTTTTGAACCCACAAGAGGGACAGAAAAAAAAAGAAGCCTTGCCTTTAGGACAAATGCCACCATGGCTATTAGGTCTGGGAGAGCCAACATAAGCCAATCCAAGTGTTCCCATGTCAAAATCTTGATATGTGAAGAGATGGGCAAGACACACGTGAGCTGCTTTCTCAGCAATATCAAAGCTAAATTGCTTTAAAGAAAAAAAAAAAGTCAAATTTTTGTAAGACACATTACTGTGCATATTAGAAGTCTATAGATAAGAACATTTATCTAATGAGCCAAACAAGCACCTTCTAGATCTGGTTAAGTCAGAAAAAAGCAGCTGTTTAGCTGTCCTACAGAGCTGCAGAAAATTAAATTAATACCCAAGTACCTTGCACACATTAATTTACATAACTTGTCTATTCATTTCCCCTTTTCACAGAGAGGGGAAAACCAAGTAGAATTATTTGATGAAGGTCACAAGGCAGCCAGTCTCTGGGCCAGACACATCAGGACTGCCTTTCTGACTCAGGCCACATGTTAATAATTCTAATTGGTGTGTGGTCTGTAATTATGCAATAGAGCCCTTTACCATGGGCTACAGGGCACATCAGCTACTTTGACTTTATGTAACATCTACATGTCGTGCGAAGGAAGTAGAGAAGTTTCATACAGAGCAGCTGTATGAACAAGTAATTCTCTGTAAGGGGCACAATTTTTCAAGGGTTACCACCTACCTCTAGCAGCATTTTCACATCCCAGGCATCTTTCTTATCATCTGGGTAACTTTTTGCCATATTGTAATGCTTTTCTCCAGGTTTTACAAGATTTGGCTCATTGTGGATGATAATCTACATTTCAAAAAGGGCAACAACAACGTAGATGAATTTTGATCAATTTTACAGCTACAGAAAAGCTTTCAATGTAATCTTAAATGTCTCAACAGATCTGCAAGAAGAAAAATTCAGACTCAGCATGCTTCCAATATTAACTTTTCAGCCTCTGCTAGTTAAGATATGCTGACCGCATCATAAGCAACTACACGAGTCATTTCATAGAGTGACATCAACAGTTTTCACTGTAACGTTCTGCTTTTAGATGCATGTTACTCTACCAAAAAAGACCACCCAAATACAACCAGGATTTACATAAATAACCCCAAACCATTTCAGAGTTCTAGCTAACCAGGAGATATTTTAAAGGACTGCTACTTTCCCAGTAAACTAGCATTAACGCATCATGTTCTCTTCCCCCTCCCTGCCCAATTAACAAATTTTCCTAGCAAAGGGGCAGCTAGCTTGTACCGAGTACCCCTGTTCCACATTGCAGCTCTTGCAGTACTCCAAGCCAAAGGATTCCTCTTCTTTTTAACACCCTTTTCCAGATTTCTGGGCACTAACTTTCAGAAGCCATCATGTAAATTGTAGTCACTACATCCCCTGTGCACACATTATAGCCCAGCCTCTACACTATCATGATATCATAATGCCTAAGGGGAGTTATTAAAGCTCTTCAGGCAGGATTTGTGGGTTTTTTCCATCTGTATTTGGGGCTCACTCGGGCTGTGTAAGCTAAGCACTAGCCATCAACTCGAACATTAAATAGATGAATAAGAGTGTGCCTGACAGAAACAAGAATTGCTCATATTCTGGAAAAAAGCATCTTTAAATTGAGGTTAAATATAGAAAGATTCTCCCTGAAAACTTCTGTCTCAGAAGCTGTGAGGAACTGAAAACAGGCATGCTGTATCAAATCATTAACACCACCTCTGGCAAGATGCTATTTCAGTGTGCTCTTGACTGGAGTTAATAATGTAGGATTTGATTATTTTAGCTCTAATCCAGATAAAATAATCAGAAACCTCGATATCCAAAACATGTTCTTATCCTTCAAATTAGAAACCCTTTGCATAGTTCAGTGAATACCTGCTCTATCTGTATGCCGTACCCATTGAAGGCTCCATTGTCCCAGGAAGTATTTCGGTAGATGTCATCTACTCTGTCTATCAGTTCAATCTATGTAGAAAAGAAAAAAAGTGATTTAGTTCCAAGCTTTCATGTAATATAGTTCAAGACACTCATAGAAACTGCAATATACTTATCTAGAGGCACTCACTTCAAATTAAAATTGAACCTCATAACAGATGTACTAACTGATCCAAAAACAACAGCACTTGGATCCAGAGAGTATTATCAAATATCCTTTAAAATTTTCCATCATGAAAAAGCAGTACAAACTTTCCCATTTATCACTTCTATTTGTGTAGTGGAAGAACAATAACATTAAAGAACAAGACATCTTGGGAAACACTTTGTTCATAAACTAGTTTTCCAGGTTTTTTGGAGGGGAAGGGCAGAGGAGGGAGTTGTTTTTAGTGCTTTGTTTTAGCACGATGCTTAACTAGTTTAACCGACCCCTGAAGCCTGCTTCCTTCTCCCAGCCTCATTATGGTTCAAGCACAAGGTTCCAGAAAATCCCTCTTCAGAGCTCACTATCAATACCTCCCTTTTCAAGCTGTTCTCATCTCCTTAAAAAACACCTTCTACTAAATATAAACCATCAAACTTGCTCAGAATGGAAAGTGACATTCAGAGCCACTCAGTAATAGTTTACTTTTACTTTAGTTTTCCAATCACTGTGTTGTTTTACCCAGGAAACACAATAATAGGTTAGCCTGGAAGACCCATATGTCAGATGCTGAGATAATAGCGCTTCTGCAAATACATGTAAACATTTCTGGAGACAGAAGGGTCAAAAAGCCAGAATAGGTGGAACAGAGTGATTAGCATTTCAAAGATTCAGGCTTAGAAAGAGACTCTAAACAGCAGGCCTCCACAAGTGGTTTCATTTGTTTTTGTCAAGTCCCCAAACCCATACTCCCCACTGCTGCTGAAAGGCTGTGGACAGGCATTCCATTATCAAAACTTCTCAGGCAGGCACCACCACTGCACTGGTTTTGGCTGGGTTACTTGGTAACCAGTATGTGATGGAGCCTTGCTTTCCTGAGGATGGCTAAACACCTGCCTGCTGATGGAAAGCAGTGAATTAATTCCTTATTTTGCTTTGCTTGTATGCCCAGCTTTTGATTTACCTATTAAACTGTTTTTATCTCAACCCACGAGTTGTCTCACCTTTACCCTCCCTGTTCTCTTGCCCACCCCACCAGGGAGGAGTAAGCAAGCGGAGTGGCTAGGTGGGGCTGAGCTGCCTGCCAGGGTTAACCCACAACACTTGTAGGACCAAATTGTTTGCTGCGCCTGCTTCAGTGTCATTGTTCTGGACAGAGAATCCTGGAAGAATTTGGAAAAAACAAACCAAAACCCCCACAACAACAAAAAAAACAACAACCCAAAACTATACAAGTTCCTTTTTTCCTCTCATATGAGCTTTAAACACACTTGAACTTTAAAGATGCTTGGATCACTTGCAGTGGAATTCAGATTTCAGGAGATTCTAAAACTCTGGCTGAAAAAGAAAATTTCTTAGGCAGAAAACAGCATAGCCACAGGAGGTATATGAAGGGAAGGGATTTGTTTATGAATGAAACTTGAAGACTATTTAACTACAGTATCACCATTAGAAAATATTTTAAAAGTATGATTTAGCACTTTTCCAGGTAAAAAGCATGCACAACCATGATATAAATACGTATGTTGTAGAAAAGCAGTATAACATGTATGTTGTTTTAACTACCAAATCACTATTTTTTTTTCCTCCATTACTCTAGCAAATTGTAAGAGTATATTTACCTACCAAATAGTTTATAGTAGTACTCTCTTCCCCACGGCCCATATACTTGAAAAAACGATGATCTGCCACTACCAACATCTTGCACGTGTTTTTGGAGCTCTCTGGAACAGTTCTTTTCTTCCGATGGATGCTTGCTAATGTGAACATTTTAAATACAATTAAACACTCAGTAAAACTGCCACTGCTGTCTCTATTATCCTCATTTAAGACACAACTGTGAGTTTGGATGGGTTTTGGGGGGGAGACTGGGATGTCTAGTTTTGGTTTGTTTTTTAATAACTATTCTTAAATTTTGTCTTCATAACAGTCCTCAAACTTGTTGTAAGGAAAGGAATGTATAGTAGTGAAGTCTATTTACCTACAGAGCTTTTATGGTCATCACCTCAGCCTTAACACCTCTCCTCCTCCTGTTCCTAGTCATTATCCCACATGCTGACACATGCAGAGGACAGAGGAAAGAGGAGCTGAAAACTCAAAAACCCATCATAGCTCAAGACAGATTCTTGAGCGACCACTGAGGCCAAATAGGTCCTGCTGCACAGTGCACAGAAGTACAACATTGTTTTCATGTTCTCCTTAGAAAGCGTACCTACGTCACTGCCAGCTATCACAACAACCACTACTTAGGCCTGATAAAATAGCTTCCTCTCCTTAGCCTACGCTTTGGTAGGGCCAAACATCCTTCCAACAAGCCAGGAAGAAACATGCCCTGAGTGACAGTTTCTTCCTTTTATCACTTGTTAGGGCTTTTTTGGATGGGAAGCAGGCATGAGGAAGAGTGCAGCTTCTTTTCCCCCAACAATGAATTTAAAGAGTTAATAGTTAAACTAGGAACAGCAACACAGATTATTGCCCAGGTTTTGATCTTACTTGCCTACACAGCCAGAATTCAAGCAAAGATGCTGCTCTCCCAGAGTACGGACACTCACCTTCATTTTGCTTCCTGTCTTCCAGTCCTTTTGGCAACAGTTCTTCTTCGTTCAGCTTTAAATAACCACACACTTTGGGGGACTGCAATCGTGAGAAATCTTTAATATCTTCAGATCTGTAGACCAGCAGTCTTTCATCTTGCACATTGTCTACAAATCTCCACAGTGGCTGACAGTACAAGAAGAACAGAAATCCAATTAGTTAGGAACACAGTGAATGAAAGACTAAGTCTATATAAGTAAAAAATTGTATTTATGTTCCATCAGATCTCCACAGCTTTATGTGTACACACGCACAAATACATTGGACTACGATAATTTCACCCATGGCAATAAGTCTATTGATAAAAAGACAAACCCAAGAAAGCCAACAGAATTCGATTCTTTTATGGTACACAGGCATCCAAAAATCTAAGATCATCTCAACAGAGCAGCAGCAGCCACCTGATAAGGCTGTAGAAGAGACAGAATTTTTTTCCCTTTCCAGAATGCGAGCAAGCTGAGGAGGCATCTCAGGCTTCTCTGCTCCCTCTGCAACAGCATGGAGTCTGGCGCAGCCATGCTTAGACTATGCTAACAAACGCACTGACCAGAATCACAGGAGCTGGCAGATATCAGAGAATACCTAAGCGCATAGCAGAACGCAGTCTTCACGGCAGAAGGCAGGCTCTTCAATGTTCAATAGCTACCCAAGTCACTTAAGCATGAAAATTTCTCCAAAAGCAAAGAAAAAAAGAAAACTGAAATCCCATGGTTTTCCTAATTCCCATAGCAGATGCATACTGACCATCTCTTTTTTTGTTTTTACTAACATATCCCTATTATTATCTGTACACAACACCACCAAATACAACACGGCCAGGATCTGTTCTTTGGGCAAGGCCAAGTAGTACAGACCGCCCATGTCCACACTGCAGAGTGCTTGGGCCTGGGTCTCCTCTGGCCCTTAGGCAGTGGTCTTTCAACTTCAGACAACTGCTACTGAGCACACTGTGCTCTCAATTCATAGCAAAAAGGTCCTGAAACACGAAGGCTGTGCTGGCCCAGCAGCCATCTGTCTACAGTGCGAAACTGAGGGCACACATTTTGCATCCTAAGGCAAGGTACGAGGGCACCAGGCATTTACATGAAGGCTATGAAAGCAAAGGAAGACAAGGGCAGAGTGGCTTTGTCCATGCTGCCTTTTGGAAATGGTCTCACACCATCATCTCATCCAAGGCTGGTTAGGGGCTGAACTTGCCCTGGGGATGCCAACAGCTAGGCAGTGTGGGCAAGCTGGAGCCTCCACACTGCTGCCTGCCTTTATTTAGTTGTACAGATGCGGCCAGCGAGGCTGCATGGGGAACTGAGACATGCTTATATTGCTCTGGACCACAAACACAAAAAATGCTTTAAATCACAATCAAACAGCTACTATACATTCTTAATGCAAAACGCAAGTACAGCGGTTTGGGTATTCTAAACACATTTTTATACTTTAACACGTCTGGATTTCTCAGGTTGACCTGTAATTCTGCATATCCTTGAGTCTGGAGACAATTACAATATACATACAACACTCAGCCATAATTACTATTATTCAGCAATTCTAATACAGCTTGTGTCTGGGAATATACTGCACTGAACAACTCATTAGGACAGTCTCTAATTATTTATTTGTTGAATATTTTTTCAAATAGTTTAAAATAACACAAGCAATTAAACTGGTGAAAAAACAGAAACAAGGAAGCAAGGAAAAATATCAGATTTTCAAATAAAGCCTTAAGAGCGGGAAAAATTCCAAGACTTAACGAAGCCAAAATTTTAGAAAGCTCAACAGACCTCAACTCTGAAGGCTGCATAGTTTCTTTTCTTATTCTAGAGGACATGATCACCACTAATTACTGATGTTATCTATTTCTGTTTCTAAAACCCTTTCCTGTTTAAAACATACCTTCTCCCTGATGTATCTAAACCATGCAAATGTCAGAGAATGTCACTCACTAATAAAATTCAACACTTGCAAAAGTCAAATTGGTTTCACATTTCTCTCCCTCCTCCCTACTCACCCCAAACCAAACAGCACCACCAAGACTATTTAGAGCTACAGAGGTGTCAATGTGACTAACTAGAAAGAGAAACACCCACAGGGAAAAGAGATGATTGTTTGAATATTGCTTTCAACAGTAAAGCATACCTCTATATTGTATTCTTCTCCATCAGTATTGATTCTCACCGTAAAATCTTCATCCCCAATATGGGCCACAACCTTGGAATTATGCTCTCCTTTAACATACAGAAAAATTTAATTCAGCTCTATTTGCATGCACTCCTGCACAGACACTGTTTTGGGGTTTTTTCATTGGCTATAAACTTCAAGTCAAATTATGTTCCTCAGTCTCTGAAGAACACTATACTGTCCAGTTTACG